GGCAACATGCCTTTATGGAAACAATAGCAGAAGTGAATCTGGGGGACAAGGCTACTTCTACTGTCTTGTCTATGCGAATGATGTTCCTCGCTAATGCACTGAACAATCAACTCCCTTGCTTTAACTTACCTCTTGGCGACATTCCTCCTGCTGGCCGGCCGCTTAGCTAGGAGTGCTGGCTCCTCACTTCTCAGCAATATCATGGCCGCCCAACGGATTCCTCATCGGCACAAAATGGCAATCACAAGATTCCCAGAGCCCAACTCGCTTAAAAGCAACAAGTGCCGTGATTTACTCGATGATTTAAATGAAGTTAATTTATGACTTTAAAAATTACATGCTCGAGCATGATGTTATGAAATACATGATGGTTCGGATACGTCTACAAATACTAATCAGCGAGGTAATAGGGCGCCTGGTCAGATTACGACGTTTGTGAATATCTTAATTTAGTTGTTAGGTTACCCGTGCGCACGGGAATGGTGTGCTGCATTTGTGCTACACGTGCTGCCCTCTTTTTGCGTCTCGTGTGGATGCTGGCATTAGCGCTTCGCGACGCGCTCAGCCGCTCAGTTCACCTGGCATCGCTTATCATCTTAGCACGAAGGCCAGCCACTGCGGCCCACAATAGTCCAGAGAAACCGACTCTACCCACTTATAATCAAACTAAAAAAAATAGGAAATCTCCTCGGGAGTAATATGTCTACTGACAATAATCATATTTATTTGAATTAATTATGCATGTCGTGGTTAGGGGCGGCCGTTGGCTTATTGTTCCGCTGTATGGATTATCAGGTAATTACCGTCGAGGCAATTTCCTTCCATAAACCGGCTTACTGTGAGCGACTGCAAGCTGTGGCGAAAACACTGGCTTACCGACAATGCATGGGCTTTCGTCCAACTTGGACAACAAATGTCACTTTACCGGGATTACGTAACTAGCACTTAGGCATTCGCACTGTCTCATGCATGCTTGTCAGCGGTCATATTTAAAGCAGGCCTTGAGTGTGGTCGCCACAAGCGGTCTGCACAGGCTATGTGCAACAATCAGACCCCCTCCCCCTCCCTCCCATTATTAGTGGAACCGTACAGCCATATACCACGCATACCTCGGAACTTGTCCCCAATAGATAGAAGTCACCCGGTGCAAGGCTCACCGCGGCATCACCACGATGTCCCCACTCTTTCGTCACTGAACTATGCCGACATCACCTGTCGGCCAGCCGGCCTTCGTTATCAGCTTACAGCGCTCCATCGCTACCCGCGACGAACCATTGCCTGTATGACGCGTAGGCCTACTTCCGTCGCTACCCGCGAAGAGTCATTGAATCAAGAATAAAAATTAAAAAATCAAGAAAAAGAATCATTGAATCAAGAAAAAATTGACACATTTAGCCCATCTTGTCAACACACCGTTCGATAACACTTGGGAAAAATTAACGGTCGCCGCCAAGCTATGCGCAATATATGAACTATGTAAGATAGAGGTATTGACATCGAGCATGGACCTGCCTACGTCGCGTCCTGCCTCATGGAACAGCATTCAGGCCGCACTTTATTCATTGATCTGCTACTTTCCTACAGACTGTTCATTGGCAGGCATATAACAGTAACAGGCAGGGGCCAACACGCCATTTCAGAACACACTTGAGGGACATCTTCGCAGATTAGGTATGCTGATTGCTGTGGTACGATGTAAGCACGAAAGCAGTGCACGACATCTAACGGATCAGAAATAATGTGATATTACGCAAGCTCAACATTCCTATCGAGCTTCCTTTCCTTTAAGGTACAGTTATTCAACACAAGGTTTTAAAACATAGAAGAGCCGGGAATTTCAAAGAATCGCTGAAGATTCGACAACTCCTCCGCCGGGCTTACATTTTGGAGAGGTGAAGGCACTGAGCGCCCGCCCGTCGGCGCGCCAGGCCGATACGGTCTTTCAACACCTTGTCTGTTTCAATGGCCCTCCGACAGCCGACTTTGACGGTGTTTATGACTGTACTCCACTCTGTTTTTGTTTTTGCCTCTGACAGGGTTGACGTTTTGAAGGGCCGCTCCCTATTGATCGTCCTGGCGCGAATGTCCGGAGCAAAAACCGTGCTCGCACTTAGGAAAAAACGGCAAGCGGCCCGCGGCGGATAAATACGCAGCGCGCCAATCTGAATCTAACCTTTTCAGTGCCACACCCGGATAACAAAAATATGCACATCGCGAGAAAGACCTTCTTGCACATTGAATAACAGCGCGTGGCCCGTGGCGGATACATACACGGCGCGCCACGCTGGTAGTCAACGTGTAGCGCGCGGCGCATCTTTCTACCGCGGACCACGTGCTGTTTTTTCAATGTGCGAGTACGGTTTTTGTTTGTTACGTTTGGCCTGAGTGCTCGTTCCGGACATATGCGCCAAGTCCCCATAGACGATCAATAGGGATGTGGAGGGGGGGGGGGGGGCTTTAAAAACACTGACCCCGTCGGAGTAAGGCAAGTGCAAGTAGTAAGCAATTCGGTCATTAAGGGTACCGTTGTTAGAACCATTACAGCGACTCCAGAAGGCGAGATTCGCACGTGTGAGCCGATGAGAGATTCCGCCGTGCCGAGGTGTGATTCCGGCGACAAAATAGTAAGGGTCGATGAGAGATTCCGGCGTGCTGATGAGGATTCCAGGAGCTGAGGATAAACCGATGAGGGACTCCGGGGTGCCGTGAGGATTCCGGCGACTGAGGATAAGCCGATGAGGGACTCTGGCGTGCCATGAGGATTCCGGTGACTGGGGATAAGCCGATGAGGGATTTCGGCGTGCCGATGAGATATTCCGGCTTTATTCTGTGACGAGAGAAGGTGGGGGCTACATGGTGATGCCGCAGTGGCTGCTATTTACCAGGGGTGGCTGGTGGCATTCACAGCCAGGTGGCTGCTATTTACTGGGGACAAAGTCCGAGGTATGCGTGGTGTATGGCTGTGAGGCTCCGCTCTTAATTGAGGGGGTCTGATCGCTGCACATAACCTGCCCGGACTGTGTGCAGCGACCACAGTAAGGGCCTTCCTACATTGTGACCGGTGATAGGCATGGATGAGACAGTGCGAATGTATGAAATGTAGTTGCAGAATCCTAGTAAAGTGACGGTTGCTGCCCGTGTTAGGACAGAAACGTCTGTTTCGAAAAAGTCCGTGTAATATCGGTGCGTGTAATGTCGCCAATGTTTTCGCCACCATTTGCAGTCGCCCCAGTAAGTTGGTTTATTACAGGGAATCGCCCCGTTGGCAATTACCTGTAGATCAGTACAGAGGGCCATCTAGCCAAGAACCGCCAATAACACTGGCATGTATATTTGATCCAAGCAAATATGATTATTGCCCGTAGATGATCACTTCCAAGGAGCTTTCCTTTCGTAAGACTGATTATTGGTGAGTACAGTCACTACCTCTAGAAAGGTATGCATAGCAATATGCATTTCACGACATCGCGTGCGAGTACGTAACTTCAAAAACCCTGCAGAAACTTTGTCTAATCATTGAGTCAGTCACGGCGCTTGTTGCTTTTATGCAAGCTAGGCTTTGGGAATCACGTGATTGCCGTTTGGTGTCGGTGAGAAATCCGTCGGGTGAGCATGGCGATATTGCTGAAAACATGTAGAACTCAGTACTCCTTGTTACGCGGAGGGCAAACGGAAAACCGAGTTGAAGGAAATGACGGCTACGATGTATTACGAAAACTGCGCGTAACACATATGGTGGCCAGTATGGGGAATGCCGCCTAAGAGTGAAGGGAGAAAAATCAAGAAACGAGTTGTCTAACGATGCGCTATAATGGAAATCTCCCCACGTAACAAACGCACTTTTATTTGCCCACACATTGCCTGCATTGACTGTGTATGAGTTCTTTCCGCATTGATACAGGCACTGATGCCGGTAATTGAACGCATAATGCTACAATTTTTTGAAAAATGCCACCCCTTCCTCTGCTTTTTTCCTTTACCTATAAGCCAACACTTAGTTGCTTTTTTGGCGGGGTGGCTTTGATTGGTGACCAGATAATGCGGAGCCCAGAAAAATTGACGGTGCCATCGTTCAGCTCTTAAGAAGTCGCTTTGAACTTTCACGAGCAATGTAGACCATCGTGTCCAGAGGCATAGTTTTGCAGAGTGAGTTGGTGGGATAAACCGTCAAAAACTATGAAACCTCTCCCAAAGCTCGCCAAAACGGGTTTCTCCCAGAATTTGGCCAACTTCTCTCTCAAAGTTGGACGGGGGCTGACCCAAGTTGTGCATCATTCCCATCCCCTAGACTGAATTGGAAACTGTATCCCTGGTTGTGCCCCAGCGGAAAATCCCCCCCCCCCCCCCCACCAAATTCGTACATCTTTAATTTGGCTGGAATCCATACCGAGGACATACATGAGGGACACGATTTTAACATTGCCCGATTGTCGACGGCACAGGCGGCAAACGGCAGCCGACAAATCCACCCATCGCACGCAGCTAGCCGACACTTTTACATTAATGAAGACCTCCATCGTAAATGCCAATGTGCTCAGAAGTAAACGAGGAACGTTGCAGTCACCTGCCTATATTTCATGCCGCCACGTAGCATGCGTGCATAGATATGGATATGCTAAGCTGAAAAGTGCGATTTCGGGAAAATTAACTTTATATTTGGTTTAATGCGGTCAACTATTGACCCATTAACAACAACAAATCGTTCGATCTCATTGCGACCAAGTCGCTGGTGTTTTTGCGGGGCTCTATCTCTTTCAGTTTGAAAACGCCTGAAGGATCTCATCAAATTCCTGCTCCCTTCTAGCACGCGTTATTAAAAGAGCGAATCACGGCGGGGGAATTGCCAAATACAATACACAGTCAGCAAGTGCAATGTTGAATGTTATTCATGCAAATAGACTTTAACGAGGCCCAGAAGAAAAGAAGAGGTTCTATATCTGCTATGACTAGTGCACATCCTTGATACCCTTGAAATCCAATCGCGCCAGCATTGCCTCAGTGGAACACGTTTCACGCGCGGTTGCTGATTTCGCGAGAATCCCTCGCACGTTCATGTTTTGCGGGTTGTTCCATATCACGTTCGGGTGGGCCCGGTTAAGGGTACAAGAGTAAAGCTACTACTTCTGGGCCCGCTGTGGTTTTCAGGTATGGTCTAAAATACCGGTATATGGTGCAGACGCGCAAGTTTTCCGAAACGGCTCGTCCGATCGCCATGGAACCTTCAACAATCGATTCCTTCTGTCTACTGTCCTGATGGTGGGATGTAGAGTGCAAAGTGTTCATGTAATGTCTAACATCCAGGATAGCTGTGACATTGCGGGATTAGTCTCAGACCATGTATCATGTATGTGAAAATCCAAACACTCAGTGTTTGGTGCATAGTCTCCATCAATTTAATCTTAAAAGTCTGATCTTTCAAGCAATTGAAAGTTGCAAATGTAATAGTGGGCTGATATGCTCCAAAACTTGTTGACAAAAGTAACTTTTAAAAATTGGGAAGGTCTGGCATGGCATGGGTGTTGCATGTGAGCACCAAGTGAATCACACCAATGTACTGTGGGTATCCAGCACATTGGGTTCAACAGCATATTATCCAGCTGTTTTGTATCACTAGGTCTGCAATTGAACTGGGATTGTGTGGCTGACTGGTAGAACCAAGATTCACACCACAAGTAATCTGTAGCATTGGTTTGTATCCCAGAGATCCATGCATTTGAACAGCTTGGATTTGGTGTCTAAGAAGAGAATAATGAGTTGTTAAAGAAGTGGATATCTGCATTTCAGCTAGGTAGCTACTGTTGTAGAGAATGCAGGCTTCAGAGCATATGATCGTGATTTTCCAGCAATCCTGATCTAGTGCAGAAGGCACCAGGGAGATATGAACCTCATTTACAACTTCATGCATGGGCTTACTTGAGTGGTCAGGATTTTGGTTTGCAAATTCTCTTTGAAAGGTTACCACAGGTAACCCAGAAAAGTTCCAGCACATTAAAGAGCACGCACATCCATTTTGGAGCCAAAGTCATGTATGACTGGCAAATGTTGCCTTAGTGCATAGTTGGCCTGCCTGCCTTTTGCATTTGAATATAATTTTGACTTGCACATGGACCAGTGTAATTGTCACCTGAAAAACAGCCTCACAGTAGATGGCTGAAGAAATTTCAAAGCTGATATAGATTCTGATTGCAGTATACAACTCTGCAGTATGAATACTGTTGGGCTGGAATCATAGTATTGTGCTGAAACAAAATTATCAGATTGAAACAATATTTTCTGGAGATATGGCAAGTAGAAGTACAGTAAAGCCAAACAGTATTCATGCATTGTTGATGTTAAGCATCCAAAGATCTTTGTTTTAAAAGTATTAACAATTGTTTAAAGTGATGTGATCTTGGGCAAACATCTCACTGGGTTCAAGTGCATGTGCATGATGTATCTGAGTGTGCATGTACCAAGTGCATGATGCATCTGGGTGCGGGACTTGGCGTTGCTATTGCATGTCCTGAAATAGCGGGTCTGTGGAAAGTTGCTTGTCAATTGAGGATTTATGAGGCAAGTTTGTGGCAAAGATATTTGCATCATGGCATTATGCTGGCAGTAATGTTACAGATGAAAACAGAATGTAGAGTTAGGAATATTTTGGTATTTTGATATTTTGTTGACATTGAAATGTAACATGTGATAGTTTTTCTGCTCATCTTACCAAAAAATATCATTGGAAAATGTTTTGGCTGGCCTGCTGCTTTCAGACATTTATGTAGGTCTGCACTGAACCAGGTTTGCTTGATTGTTTGGTATGTGTGTTAATCAGCTGTGCCTGTTTGCAGTGTTATGGCTCTGACCGGCCTGATTCAGGCTGGGATTCTGCGTGGATCCAATGCCGTCAAAAAGGAGGTGTCTGTGAAGTTTGAAGACTCAGTCCCATTTGACCTAATGACTGTGCTGAAGGAGGTAGATAGTGGCTTTTCACATAGTTATGATGAGCTGTGCTCAGAGTTATCCAAGGGAGTTATGCAGGTTAGTACTTTCATTTTCTTGCAACACTTCAACCCTTAAAATAACTACATTTTGGCGGCAGTGCTTTAAGTAGGTGCCATCCATAATGTAGATAACATCTCATAATCAGGTCTGCATACTGGGGCATGCCAGCAACTACTGGTCCTTTTCAGGTTATAACTTTCTTGGGACATTTTTTCATGGCCTAATTAACCGTCGATTTTGAGGGAAAAACATATGGTAAACTCATTGTCCTCTCTAGATGGCAGTGCCAGTTCTGCGGTTTAGTATGGCTGTGACATGCCGTGATTGTTTTTGCTGCTCACGACGTATGCTAGCGGGGTGTTGCGGTCGGGTCATTGGACTCTCTGCCGCGCTTCGTCAGCTGCGGGCGTACGTGCGTGTTTCAGACAAGCCAACTGGCCGAAGTGCTGGAGCAGCTGCACCAGCATGCCGGCGAGCTGTGCGGCGAGCGCCACGTGACGCTGGTGCGCTCGGTGCTGGCCTGCAGCTGGCACCGGCTGCCCGAGCGGCCGCTGCGCCGCTACTTCTCTCTTGTCGTGCTGCTGGCCACCACTCAGCCGCACTGCGCCAGCGACGCCATCAAAGTCCTCGTCCACGCGCTGCAGTTCGGTGAGTTGCCACGGCGCCTCCACCAACACGACTCTTTGTGAAGGGAGACCAGGGTCCCTTGGAGACGCACGCCGTGCAGAAGCTGAGGTACTGTGTCACGGCAGTTGAGTATGGTATATTTATGCACATCATTCACCAAACAGCAGTTCACAGTTTGGGGCTGGATAGTAATATGACTATGTGCCCTGTGTTTGCCTAGACATCAGCCACATAACACAAGACAATGCGGTCGACGAGCTGGCAAACGCGGTAGATTATCTAGCCTTGATACATCCATGCCATACACTCGAACCGAATGTCTTTTGCATCCCAAGCGAGCGTTCCACTCCACTACGATAATCTGTGTGGCCCACGGGGCATTATAAATCCACATTGCATGAACCATATTTATGGACTGTGCAACAGTAAGGACGGTGTAATCATTGTTTCGTAATATTTGTTTGTCTTCTTGCTATTTTATCACGCGATTGTTTTATGTGTACCCAGTTCACATGTGTGAACCATTGAAGTTGTGATAATATTTCTGGCATATTGTGAGGTCGCACTGTTGTCTCTTGGTACTGTTGGTATCAAGGCACATGACAAATACACCAGAGTTTAATAGAGATCGCTTAGGAGCTCCTTTGCGGACTTGCACTAAGTACCCAGTCGCTTTTTTAATGCCATCTGGTTTTCGCCTGATTTTTTAAAGATTTACATGATATTTTTCGAGATGAGATGGCATATTTATGGAGCGGAGGCGATGTTTATCGAAATGAGATCATACGTTGTCATACAGGATATCAGGTCAGATGTGTTATGCCTTAAAGAACACTAGCTGCACAGGAAACGATTACGAATAACTTGTCTAGGCAGCCACACGCTGGCGCACATCACTTTATAATATGTGCCTTCGCCTGAAATAGCTGTGGTCGTTTATAACGAAGCGCCATGCGGTGGTGTTCGTATTTGATTGCAGCGACATTTGATGTAATAACAAAAGTTATGATTGCACTGACAAAAGCTCCAAGGTGCACACTGTAAGTGGTGCTTACGTCCCGGAATGAAGTCATCGTTTGCATTGGCACGTCAAATAATTATCACGCATCCGTGTATCACGTGGCGGGGTACGGGGGAGGTAGGGGGGGGGGGGGGGGGGCAAGCTGCAAAAGGCCATTTCTCCCCTCCGACAAGGAGCGTAGCAGGAACGTGGCGCCGACGCCTTTAGCCGCACCAAATCCAGGCCTCAGACGTTCTCACGCGCCCACTGTCGAGGGCGCCGACATCGTCGCCGTGTCTGTCAGTAACCGCTTGAGTATGACACGTGACCGTATGCGGCGCTTTGTCTGCCCGGTCTTTGCCGGTGATCTTGGGATGCGCTGTGTCCAGGGGCGTGAGAACGTCTTAGAAAGGGCCGACCCTCGTGCTAGCCAATTCTTGACATACATCACCGCAGAATTATAATGCTCAACTTCATCTACCGAGGTGTGTGTGGTGGGCGTGAAGTCACTCCGGCGCCCTGTCTTTCGCCTGTGGCGGCTCTTCTCCGGAGCTGGGGGGCCACTCGCCAGTGCCAGCCGGTGACGGGTGGGTGCGCTGCCCTGCAGTGTCGGAGGCCGACCCGCTGAAGGAGGAGCCGCTCGCCGGAGACCTGTCCGAGGAGGAGCGCTGCGTACACGCGCTCGCCGTCCAGTCGCTCTGCGGCATTCTCCGCATCATACCCCTGTGAGTTGTGCCCTCAGCCGCGGCGGCGCGGAACCGCGTGACGGCGGTTCGCCCCGCGGCTGGGCCGGCCCTCACCCCTCGCTGACTGCGTGCTCTCGCTGCGTGAGTGCGCCGCACCGCGTGTCTGTCGCCGCCCGCTGTGTGCTGTGGTGCTGCAGGGAGGCGCTGTTGGCGGGCTGTCGCCACCGTCCGCTAGCTCTCCGGCTGTGAAGTGGTTCTTCTGTTGTTAGATGAACGTCTTGCCACGATACGGTTTTCCTGCCATCTAGTGGGTCTTGCGCCACCAACTGTCTCCCCATCACGTAACTCTCCCGTCCGCTGGCGATCCCGCCATCACGCGGCTATGGAAGAGCTATGTGGCTGTTCCATTTTCTCTTGTCATCAGGAGTCTCTCCGGCCATCGGGTGGCTCTGTTGTCGTCTGGTGGCCCTGCCGCCGCGCGGTGCCATGCCGGGTGCCGGGCTCGCCTTTCTCCCGTGTCGTGCGTTGGCGCCGTGCGTCCGTGTACTGACGCCGGTGTGGCCGGCCGGCAGGGCACTCGACATGCTGCTGCAGACGCTGTCTCAGCGGATGCCGTACGTGAAGCGGCCGGCCCGGCAGCAGGCGGCCTACGTCAGCAGCTTGCTGTTGCTGTCCGGACAGCTGCCGCAGGCCCGTCCGCAGCTGCTGCGGGTGCGTGTCTGGTCCTGTGTTCGGTCTCGCCGGGTCCAGTCTGGAACCGGCCAGTTCTGACGGCTGACGGAGTGGCCTCTCCATGGGCTGGTGTAACGGGGCTGTGACTCAAGGAGCTGTGTTTGTGTTTTGCTCGCTACCCGGTGTGCCAGTGACTTGTGCAGCTCTGCTGTGATCCCTGACAGCATGCCATGAACGCCTCAGCAAAAGGTGTGACGGGCACCGACGTGTTTTCACCAAAGCCCCGAACGACATCGAATTCAGCGGAAATTTGGATCTCTTCATGAGTGGGAGACCGAAGTCATCTCTGAATAGAGTCCAAACTGAGAGCCCCACTTCGACTATTCTTAAAAAGCGCCATGTATTATTTATCATCCCAAATCCTAAAGTGTTACACACTGCTCTGGCTGGACATCATGTGTTTGACGTCAGTCAGATGGTGTACCAGCGGCTGGCGCGGCTGAACTGTGTCTCATAATGTCGTGTGTGCGGGGCTGATGTGTGGTTTTCTCAGACAGTTGGCGTACCAGTGGCTGGCGCGGCTGGACTATGTCTCATAATGTCCTGTGTGTGGCTGATGCGTCCGATGTAGTGATGCGCAGCTGATGTGGCCGATGTTCTCAGTCATATGGCGTTCCAGCCATTGGCACGGCTGGACTCTGTCTCTTGATGTGGCTTTACTGTCTGTTAGCTGATGCAGGCGGTCCGTGTCTCCTGACATGCGCGTGTGGTGTCCGCCAGCTGGTGTACCGGCGGCTGTTGCAGGTGGTCCGTGCCTCCTGACATGCGTGTGTGCTGTCCGCCAGCTGGTGTACCGGCGGCTGCTGCAGCTGGACGTGCTGTGTCCGCGCGACAGTCTGGCGGCGGCCGGGGACGCGCCGCCCGACGAGGCCGTCACGCTCGACGCGCTGATGATGGTGGTACTGGGACACATGGAGTCGGTCTGCTACCCTGGCGACGACCGGCAGCTGGACTGGGCCGCCACTAAGCTGATCTACGCCGACCTGATCAGGGTCAGCCGCCCGTGCCTGAGAGGCGGTATCTGACGCCGCTCCCTCTCTGTGCGCTGACAGCACTGCCAGTCGTGCGAAGCCTCAGACGTGTATGCAGGGGCTGATGGCAAACGTGCGGGCTTCTGTGGGGTCTGAGTCGTCGATGAGTGCTCGGCGGCGTGAACGAAGTAACGAGACCCGAAATAGCATTGTTTTTGATCATCTACTCAGCTGGCTGTCGGCCTCTAGAGACCGAGGGACGGCTGCGCGACAGTCTCCGTACTGTAGCCGTCTCTGCACCGTGGCGGTCTCCGCACCATGGCCGTCTCCGTACTATAGCCGTCTTTGCACCGTGGCCGTCTCCATGCCATGACCGTCTCCGCACCGTGGCCGTCTCCATACCATGGCCGTCCCCGCACTGTGACTGTCTCCATACCATGGCCGTCTCCGCACCGTGGCCGTCTCCATACCATGGCCGTCTCCGCACTGTGACTGTCTCCATGCCATAGCCGTCTCCGCTCCGTGTCCATCTCCATGCCATAACTGTCCCCGTACCATGGCCGTCTCCATGCCATAGCCGTCTCCGTACCGTGGTCGTCTCCGTACCATAACCGTCTCCGTACCGTGGCCGTCTCAGTACCATAACCGTGTCCGCACCATGGCCGTTTCCGTCCTAGAGCCGTCTCCATACCATGATCGCCTTCGTACCGAGTACCGCCTCCGTGCCGAAATCGCCGTTATCTCCTTTAATTACTATCTTTGTAGCTGGTGCCGTGTCCGTGGCAAGATCTCCGTTATTTCTTATTATCACTGTCTCCGTACCGAGTACCTTCTCCGCACCGAGACGGTACTGAGAGACGGCGCGGCGGCCGGCAGGTGTTTGAGGAGCTGGCGCTGCCCACGCCGAGCACAGCGCACGCTCAGTTCTGGCTGTTCTGGCTGGCCGGCCGCCGTCTGCCGCTGGCCGAGCACCTGATAGACTGGCTGTGGCGGCGCGTCGAGAACCCCCGCTCGCCGGCCGTGCTCCGACAGGCGGCCGCCGGCTACATCGGCTCGTTCTTGGCGCGAGCCAACATCGTCAGCATCGAGTACGTGGCGTCCGCGCCGTCCGGGTGCCGTGTGAGCCGCCGCTGGCAAAGCGGAGTGGCGCAGAGTGCACCGTCGGGGAGTGGTGATGTCGTGCGGCGGTCGTCGCGAAGCTGGTGCCGGGCCCAAGGATTGAAGGGTCAAAAACCTCAGCTGCGACTAGACTGCCTCGATGCTTCAGATGGCGTGCGTGTTCTGATCATGTTCGTGTTTAAGCAGCCTTTCGTTTATGAACAGGAGCAGTGCCGCCCACCCAATGCCACCAGATGAGCCACCGTGCGTATCGGCGGCCGTCGATGCCGGCAGCTCGGCGTGCAGCCGACGTGTGGTGACGCTCTCTGCCCCCCCCCCCCCCGCCGTCGGCAGTGTGGTGCGTCCGGCGCTGGAGCTGATGGCCGGCTGGGTGCACCGCTACCTGACGCGCCAGGACGGCGCCGCCCGCGAGCGCGCCGACTTCACCATGCACCGGCCGTTCTACGCCGTCTGCCAGACGCTGTTCTACGTGTTCGCCTTCCGACACACGGAGATGCCGCCGACGCGCGCCTGTGAGTGCGCTGCGCCGGGGCGGGGTGCCCCCCCCCCCCCCCCCTGCTGGGTTCTCGCTGCTCCCTGACGAAGCAGTTGAAACTGACGAGCTGTGGTAGCAGCTGTGTGTTCTCAGCTGAGAGCGAAGGATGTTGTACAAGTTATATTATCCAGCTTTATTTGCAAGAGCCGCAAGCGGTTCCGTTACCGTGCACCTACTATTTCCCGCAACAGACCCATGCAACCCGTGCATCTGGGCACTGGAGTTTCCCTTCCGGTGGTCTTGTTTGTGCACGTCCCCACTGGCTGTGGGCGTGCCTGTGACGTGTCTTCGGCAGCTGACTGTCGCCGCACCCCGCCCGGCCACAGACATGCCGTTCCTGAGGTCGCTGAATTACGAGCGCATGGTGACGTCGCAGCTGAACCCGCTGCGGTTCTGCCTGCCGGCCGTGGTGAAGAACTTCGCCAACGTGGCCCGCCACTACCAGCTGGCATACTGCTACACCGTCATCGAGCGCAACAACCGGTGAGAAGCGGCACGCACGCCGGATCGGCGGCGGCACGCACGCCGGATCGGCGGCGGCACGCACGCCGGATCGGCTGCGACACGCACGGTCGGATCGGCGGCGGCACGCACGGTCGGATCGGCGGCGGTTGTCCCCGCAATATTGCACGGACATTACGCCTTTGATGTCAGGGCCAACCACGCACATCGAGCATCTGTCCGTGCCATGCCGCTTGGCAGACCGTTTCGTTTGTGTAACTGTGCAAGTTTTTGATTCGATCGATTCGGGCTTGAGAAGTGGCAACAGAACTTGTCCCTTGTTTAGAAGAGTAGAAAATTGATCAAAGTTAGACAGTAGGCGCGTATTTTCTCCATCTTTAATGGAATGCAGTCTTTGGCTTAATCCGGATAATAGCTATGCTGATGCCTGTCATTAGGTCACAAGGCTGTCTTCCATTTCACACATACCTGCAGGATGAAGTGGCTTACTTGGCACAAGGTCTCATCGGTCCCGGCATGCGGCGAGCACAGGCCGGGCTCAGCAGTGACAGTTATCCTGGGGAAAGTCGAAAGACCAAATCACGGTGGATGGGAAAGGAGTTTATTTGCTGTGTAATTCTCAGCCACGTTACGAACAGCGTTTTAGTGTCAGTACTTGTGATTCACTCTTGTACTTGTGATTCACTCTTGTACTTGTGATTCACTCAGCAGCAGTTGAGTCGAGTTGATTGATAAATGGTCGTCAACAGATCTGCCAAAACTGGACATAAGTACTGACAGGCTTAGACACGACGTGAAAAGACTAGCGTCAACAGAAAATGTTTTTGAGGCATAAACCAGGTGCAACTCTGGCGCATTACCCGAGCGTGATAATACAGTCAGACACATGACGCAGCTCTGCATTGCTCGTATGTGCAGATAACCAGCAGTCAGTGCCATGGGGGGGGGGTCTTTCAGGCAGTGGGAGAAGGGGGTAAACACGCGATTTTATCTCGTGTCGTTTATCGCGACGCCGTAGGTTTTGAGAGGCGAGTGCTTCACCCCCCCCCCCCCCCATATTCCTTTGCTATCACTGGATTGGGTGTAGGTTTGTTTGTGAGAGTGTTAATTTGGAGATGTTTTTTATAAGCGATGAAAGTGCTACTGTTTGCCTTTCATGAATGGCTAAGGCGAGTTGGCTAATGGTCAGGCGAATGAACCTGAAAGCGCGAGGCTCGTGCTCTGCCCAGCATGTTCTCATTCGGCTGTGAGGCCAGCACTTCTGTTCAGTGCGGTATGAGTTACAACGGACATTGAGGGCCCCAAAACCTCGAAGCATTTCATGCTCGTCAGTGCATCTCCGGGCCGCAGCTCATGTAGAGCGCTCAGTGGAGAGAGGATATGCAATCCGCGCCATCAAACTGAGCCAGTTCGAATGTTTTACTCATTGCGCAGCACTGTCCAGCGCACAAGTAATAGATGACGACGAACCCGTTCCATGCCCATCCCATGCCCATTCCGTGCCCATTCCATGCCCATTCCATCTGGGAGCACGCCACGAGTGAAAGCAAGACGTCAGTGCTGCTTGCATCTCGGGAAAGGCGGGTTTCAAGGCTGCGGCTGATACAGAAGGTTGAACCGGGCTGCCCTGCTGCGGAGCAAATCCCACGGTGGAGCCGCTCCGAGCCGGGCGATTTCATCTCTGCACCGCATTCCGTAGTTCATGGCGATGAAACGCCGCCGCGGCCGCAGCAATCAAGAACCGGGCCGGGCCACGTGTAGCCGTGCATCCGCAGAGGCATGCCGTGAGCACAGGAAACCTTGCGGCGGCCGTCTTTCTGGGGCCTTTCTGGGGCCACGGACCACTAGCGGAGCGGGGAACGAACTGTCATCGCTGCGGCGGCGGTCTTTCTGAGGCCACGGACCACTAGCGGAGCGGGGAACGAGCTGCCATCGTTGCGGCGGCGGTCTTTCTGGGGCCACGGACCACTAGCGGAGCGGGGCACGAACTGTCATCGTTGCGACGGCGGTCTTTCTGGGGCCACGGACCACTAACGGAGCGGTGAACGAGCTGCCATCGTTGCGGTATCGGATGAGGCATGCTTACGTGTGCTTTGTGTAACAATTAGGTGACAGGTCTCGGCGGCCACGGAAATGTAAAGTTTGTGGAGTGGTTGGCAAGGTCAAACTTTTTTGGCGATGTTGTGTCGTAGTTAATTGTGAGTGGTAGCTGTACCCATGATAGCTGCGCCCATGTTAAATGATATTCCTCGATCAGACACATTACCGGGCAGGTCAATGGCCATTTCTGGGTCAATTGAGCTCGAAGGCGTATGCAGAGCTTGTTTGCCTAGATCAGTCCCAATTGATAATTTACTATTGTGCACTGAACTTGTCATGAAGTATTGCATGGCGCCCAGTTTGCTGCCCAAGTGATCAAGGTACCAATGACAAAAACCTGAAGTTTTTGTTTAAAAACTGCAATTTATCTCTTTGTCCAAAGCCGCAAAGTTAGCACGACTTAGAAAGTCATCTGGGAACTTGAATTATCTGACCGAATAGAGCTTGATTCCATGGGCATTAATCAATCTATCCACGTGACTTGTTTTGCTTCTGCATTGCGGTTAATTACGGGCCAGGTAGCGAGGGGTGCATGCCAGCTGGCCTGGGGCACCCGCCGGGGCGCCCCGCGCTGCCAGGCTAAATTACCGTTTTGTATTTTGCTTTACGGGTATCGCTGTGACGACCCGTGTCCATTGTACCGCCGTTTCTCGAATTCCGCACAGCGAGCCAGAGTTTGTGAGCGAGGTACCGCGGTCTCTGAGCGCCCGCTCTACTCCGTATGGACGGCGTTGTTGCTGGGTACGTCTGTGCGTTCTGGTACATCTGAACCCGCAGACTGGCCATGATACTGAAGTTAGCACCGCGTTTATCTCCAGAGCGTTTGCGTAATTTCCAAGGTAGCAGTTCCCGTGGACTGGAGCCGTGGAGGATATTCAAGCACACGCATACCTTAGAGGCCAACACGATTCGTGGTAAACTGCGACGCCGTTTCGCCATGAGGTCAACGTACTTGTGTTCAAAGGAAATAGTCTATTATTCAGCCGTATCACAACATCTGAGGACGCGATCCGCAGCTCACGTTGAGCTCAGTCGAACTACCTTTCTAAACAGGAGAGATTGCAATTTCCGGAACGGAAAGGTTCGACGCAGTTGCCTTGGCCGGAACATTGCGTCACATTCAGCCAGTCACCGACAGGCAACAGCGCTTGGTGGTCAGGTCGCTTGCTGTTGGTGTTGTCTGTGCGCAGATAACATGACCCTGTAGTAGCTATTCGCATGTCCAGAGATGGAATTCTGTGAATGTGACATCGGTTCGACAGCTGGTTTATGCTCGTACATCGACGTCGGTGTGGTGGCGGGTGTGAGTGACGGTCGGCACGGCCATGCTGCAGGGTACAAATACCGGTCGTCGTTAGCACCAACTTCGGCTTCAAACGTCTCAGCGCTGAGCAGCTGTACAGCAGCTACTTCCCGTTCGACCCCTACCTCCTCAAGCAGTGAGTACTGGCGGGAGCGACCCGCTCACTCCGGCCAAACGACCCTGAACATTGAGACTGTGAGCGGGACAGCCGTGTATTGGGCCAGCCTGCACCGCTGACACGTGGTCCGTATGGTGTACTCTTTGCGCAGCGTGCAGCGTCTGACAGGAGCCTCAAATTATGGCTGTTGTGCATTATTGCCGGGCCATTCGTTGCCGATTGCGCGCACATCACGATGATGACGTGTAGAGGCTGTCACGGTTTTGTGTGCTTTGTTTGCCTGTAGCACGTAGAGCCCTAATTGACTCACGCAATGTTTGGAACGAGTATTAATGCATGTAAAATGGTTAGTCGCACTTTTATCCACGTCAGCGGTGCCAATGATTACATTTCGTCAGCAATTAACAAGAACCCTGCTCAAGCACGCCTCAAATGGGTAACCTCTCTTCTGTCCTTGTCAGTGATCCTATCGTTTGTATTTCGTAAGCAGTCAGCAGAAGTTCTGCGTTTGCTGATGTACTGAGCTCAGCAGCTCGGCAGTGGGTGGCAGGCCATACCGTGTCTGCCTCGACGGCCTCGGCTCTGATGACGACACTGACCGGTCAGCCCTGACAGCAGACTTCTCCCCCGTCCCCCTGTAGCCGTCCTGTGTCGGACCCGTATCTGCCCTGGCAGCCCCCCCCCCCCCTCCCCTGTGGCCGTCCGACGCCTGATCCTTGTCGGCCCCAACAGCTCTTCTGTGCCTGACCGTGTCCGCCCCAACACCTCTCCTGTGCCCGCCCCGTGCCCTCCCGAACAGCTCCTTTGCCTGACCCGTGTCTGCCCTGACAGCCCCGCGTGTGGCCGTCCGGCGCCTGACCCGTGTCCGCCCCGCAGCTCGGCGCCTCACATCCGGCAGTGCTACCGGGAGTACACGGGCGAAAGTGCGGTGGACTCGGACTCGGACTCGGACTCGGATGATGAGATGGAGGCGGACGCTGCCGCGGCGGCGGCGCTGGCCGAGTTTCAGTACGGCGTTTCACCGGGCTTCAAGCACTGACGCCGGCCGTGCGGGGTCGTGCCGCGCGCGAGCTCTGCGCCACGTCAGCGGCCGGCCTGCGGGGCGCGCTGCAGTGTCGGCGGGGGATGCCGGAACTGGCCGTCTCGAGCCGGCTCTCGTGGTGCGGTGTGACGGTGTGGAGGCGGTGTGCGTGTATACCTCGCGGTGGCGTCAGTTGATAGAGTTTGAAGTGTGAGATATTTCGGAGACGGCTGCGCGGGGGGAGGGGGGGGGGGGGGCGGCGACGGGTGTAGTAACTTTGTGAAAGTGACTTCTCAGGAGTCTTCGGTGATTCTAGCAGGTATGACCTTGGTGTAACATCCACAGTGCGATGACCCAGTAAAGTCACGAGTCTTCCTTTCCTCGTGTCGCTCAATGTTGAACAATATCTAAACATTTCATGTTGGTGTATGTTGCATGCAGCGCACAGTGGCCATTTCCGTCTTTGGGTCAAGCGGGATGTGTAACAGCATGCTGAGGCAGGTGATAAGGAAGCCCTTTCTTGTAGAAGTGTTCGCCTGTGCAAGCTTGCTGTTTGGAACATTGCAACCCAGAAATGCAACTGTGATATCGTTCCATGTCTATGTTCATGCTCATTTTATTCGCGAATCACTCCAACATATGCTTTATTGTTTGATTTGGTACAATTTCGACAGGATGAGTGCAATATTAAAACGTGACAACAACGCGACGACATTCGAACATTATCAAGCATTCCGCCATTCACACATCTACGTCAACAACAAAGTAGTGGATCAAAATATAAACCGCCGATAACAGCCATACAACGGCAAACAAGCAATGATTACGCTACGGGACCGTCTAAATCCTCTCGCCTGGTGCGAGCTCCCTGCGGGTGCGAGAGGTGGCGGTGGTCGGCGGCAGGCGGCTCCAGGGCGAGGCCGCGCGTTACGAAAAGCCCTGCTTGCCACCGACAGATGAAGAGCTGGCAGATCAAGGACTGCTGCAGCCCGGTTGGCACGCTGGCACGCAGCGGTACGTAGAGTGAACAGGGACCGGATCGCCACCAGAGCCCGCCCGGTGAGCCCGAAGGATCATTAAGGGCCCTGAATACATCGGGGCCGTCACGGAGGGTGACAAGGTCACTAACGCTGCGCCAGCCTGGCGCTTGAACAGTTTACACCATTGGGTCTCGCCGAAGGGCATCGGTGACGATTCCGGTCCCAAAGCCCTTCGCCTATTGCACTCTGTTCAGGTGACACGCTGCAGGCCCGTTCTAGACCGAGAGGCAGTACGAAAGGCGAGGGAAAACGGGACGGAATGAAAAGTTAACTAGCCTGTAGCGTAAGGCGATGACGAATTTTGTGCAGGCAGAAAAGGATGGAGTTGCCTTTTTGGCAACACAGGATATGCGCAGTCTCTAGGAAAAGATCCTCTAAAAGTAACCTTCACAGACGGTGAAGAGTTTAATTTGTCCCGCGATGTCAAGGTGAGAAGATACGTTTTGCGGGGATTGGGGGTGCTAAGAGTCGTATGAAGCATGATTGAATCTCTTGGGTGATTTCCTTCCGTTGGGATTCCAAAATGGATAGCTGGTCTGGATGAGCGGAATCTAGCAGTAGGGTGATGTCGGTGTGAGACAATAGACGTTCGTAAGGGAGGTAGGATAGAAGCGCGTTCTTGGGGATGCAGGGGAAGATAGGACCGACTAAGCATCACTGAGGAACGCTGTGAATCAGCGACAGAGAGAGACGAACGCCTCTCACCACCTGCCGCCGACCAGCAAGTAGCCCTCAAACCACTTAGGATGTATTCCGTACCGATACCACCACAGCCTTGTCAGAGAGGCAACGGTTAGCCCAACGTCGATCCGGCGTAGCGCCCACGCAACAGTGTGGACCCACGGTGTCGATCAAGGCGTCTTTTGTTGAGTGACAAGGTCTTTCCGTGCTGTGGTGGACTTAAAAGATCTTGGGAAACGAGGCGGAACGACAGCTGCACCTTTTCATTATCTTTTGGACAGTACAGGCAAAATTGGCATAGGTCTGAAATCACCGACGATGTCACGAGGGCTAGATTTGTGAATAGGGATGACGGAGGCAAACTTCCAAGAATCTGGGGGAGAGGATGTGACGGAGGTGTTCATGAGATGAAGCAAATGTCCCAGGACAGGGAAACATTTACGTAAGACATGCACTGGAATACCATCAAATCTCACCACTCCGGATGATCACAGTTCGTTCATAGCTTTCGATAGTTCGGACAAAGTTGGGGGACACTATCTAAGGTCTGGCAGCCGTCACACGCGGTGGCCTAGGTAGAAGAGGAGAACCGCCAAGATTGCCAACTCGCCAGCGATGCGTGAGCCGACGGAAGCGAGGAGCCGGTCCAAGTCGTCGGCATTTTCTATGCGTAGGTCCTCAGTGGCACCCATACCGCCCTTCGCTGACTGGAAAGCGAAGTTCTTAATGCCTCGCCAGAAACCATCACGATCGGTGAGTATGACAAGGAGCGACGCCTCGACCTCGCGAACAGCCTTTCATACTGTTCCGTAGGGTCGGTGAGCTGATAAGTTTTTACGATTCGAGATTCGTGCCATGCTTGGCACACGTTATCGAGCTGCCACATTAGGCGTCGAAAGTCCGGGCTGCTCCCGCGCCATGGACAGTGGCAACGACGACAATGACATGCGGTTTTAAGGGGGGGGGGGCAATGCTCGTCCACCCCACTCCACCACACACATATAAACTCAGTCACTTTCTGCTCCACTTCGTCATTTTTTTTTCTGCAGGCGTATTAAAGTCCGCCTGCAGAAAATGTCGAGGCAGAACGCATCCCAGTCTACCTTGCCGCATGGAATGCATGGTAACAGGCACTGGACGACAGCGGGTGCGACTGAATGCCGCTGACCACTCCCAATGATACTCCCACCGGCTCCTAAAAATGATTGACTCATTTTGATGGCTGTATCCACTAGCTGCCTGTCTGTTGATTTCAGCCGGGTATCTTGGTTTGAAATTGTAAGTTTGGTCGTTTTCTACTCAAGTGCATTTTTGCCCAGGTTTTGTCCTACTCACTGTAATCTGTTTGTATGCACCTACGATCAATTACGTCATAACCATACCGGCATCAATGGCTCAAAGCTGTTATCTTACATTTCCGGTGGATATTACCTCTTGACCACTTTGACAGAAGTCTCGTGATGTGGTTTTACGTGGAGTCGCAGGAGAGCTCCGCACAGCCCGCAAACATCACGAATCCTAATTTAATAGGCCGAGAAAGGCTGCCGCAGGAGTGACATTCTTGGCGCATAATAACAGACAAGGCGGGACCAAGGCTATCTAACGGGCGGGACTGCTGGCGGTGTACTTGGGTTAGTGGCACGCGTAATTTGATTGCATATTAAAGCTAAATGCATTCAGCTAATATGACTTAGGTAATAATTGAGAAAACGTCACCCACTCACAATGTTATAGAAATGCCTATGGAGATATCTCAGTTGTGGCACGTGACTCACGCATTGAGATAGAAATGTGGGAGGGGCTCTGTGAGCTGTGAACCAGACTGCATGAAATAAATTTTGCGGATCATGTCCAGCATAGCAGCGGCAGCATCCAGGAGCAGCATCACAAAAATTGTTGTATTTATGCTGTAAATCAAGGCACCTTGTCCCAAGGTTTGGTGCACAGTTTCCTTTAATTTCAGTGTGCAGGGAGCCAAGGTTTCCTGGAATTATGTTTTGCAGGCATAGTTTCAGGCAACTGTGCTTTGCAAGCATTTGGAATCCCATGACATCTTGAAGGTGTGATAAAATGTGGACTGGTAGGGCTTGGTGCACACTAGCGGGTGGTTCACAGATCAATGTCATAGATTTGTGATGCTGTGGATGTGATTTTTTTTGCAGACCAGGCTGTGAGCCATTGCTGTGACAAAGTATGTTATGTATATATATATATATATATATATATATATATATATATATATATATATGGTATGTACCCAATGTTTTCAGACACGACAGTTTCAGGCATGTTGTTGATCTATGTGACCATATTGTTTCCACATGTGAAGTGTTTTGTGTTATGCAGTAGGTTTGATGTGCTATTAATTCTGATCACCTTCATTGCTTCACAGTGTTTGACAATGCTTCACATAACTGCTGGTCTGTGGATCTTGCCAGGTGGACTTATGCTTCCAGTTCATTTGTTGTGAACACCCAAGCATGGCACAGCCCATGGATGACATGAAGTGAGTACCTTAGTAGCTAATAGCTGTAGATATGCATGCATAAAGGTTTACAGTTTGAGGAGATTTAGGAGCCGCATGGGAACATCAGTTTGATTGGTGTGGCAGTGTTTGCTCTCAGTGGTGAGCTGCTCATGGCACTCTGCCACCACCAGGTTCCAGCACTACCTATCAGGAGGCTGGACAGTTGCTTGGACCTGACAATCGAGCAGCAATCAGCACTGTTTTTAGGTCACTGCCTCTTGCTTTGTGTTGTGTTGTTATTTCTAAATTATTTGCATTGAGTGGTGTTAATTTCTGGTGTAAATTACTTTAACTTACTATCTATGTAAATTACTTTCTGTTTAATTCCACTTGATTTAATGAACTGCTATTTGGTTGTGGATGCTCACTATTGTCATTAGCCTCTGTCAAGCAGTTATACTCAATTTGAGAATAAGGTATTGAACTTGCTCCAGTTTGTGCCTTTCTCTTTCCTGTCAGTGGAGTGCTGAGGCTGTGCTACAGTGGACAAGCATTCATACCTACCTACCTAACCTACCTAACCTAACATACCTAACCCTGCTGCTAGTAAGTATAATATCATGGCTGATAGCAGAAATTTGCATCAGTTAAAGGTAGAATGTGTTGGCTGTAATGAACTCTGTGTGTGATCATTTCACAACTGTACCATTTGGGAGACTGAGCTGATAGACATGGCATGATTGACATCCTCCCTGTGTCTGCAGCTTAAAAGGCAACCACATTAGAGTTTCTGGCATAGCTTTTAAAACTGTCACTGAGAGAAATGCTGTTACCTGACAGGTGACCAATTAAGCACATTCTGGGAGGCTTATATGATCTATAATAAGTCAGGTCAGTGGGTTCTGTCATAATCAGCAAAGGCCAAAGACCACTGATCTCTCTGTCTGTATATGCAGTAATTGGAAATTTTCTTTCTTGTTCTGGGTTGCTTTGGTGGAGAAGATATACTGGTTTTACTTTGCCAGTCATTGTCACTCACTATGTAAGGTCAATCCAGATCACCTCAGAGGTCATGTAAGGTTATCTTATAAGCATTGCATTATAGTTATTTGTAATTTGTGTATGTTGAGCCTCACTAAGCCGTAACTTAAACATCCCCTGGCAAATGTCCTCTGTTTATCACATGAATTGGGAAAGCCAGAAGCACATATGATGAAGTGACCTGGTGATCTAGCATGGTGTGACCTTGACCCTTGATCTTGCAATTGTGTTATATGATTGTTATATCAAGATCTTGATATTAGTCAGGCAGTTGAAACTGGCTTAGGGACACAGGTAATTCCCATCTATCTATATATCATGCACATGTTCATGTTTTGATATGGTATCAGGATGGCAGGGCTGCATATATTGTCTGGTTCTTGGTTGGAAGTGATATGAGCTTCATACTGTCCAGGATGGCAGGATGACATGCTGCATATATTGTTTGGTTCTTGGCTGGAAGTACTGCATGCTTCATACTGTCCAGGATTTTGGCTAGAAGTAATTCAAGCTTCATACTTTTCAGGATCCATGTGGTCACATACAATGTGGCAACACTCTTTCCAAACATGAGGACCAACCTCACTGGACTTCTTGGTCTGGAGGACAACACAAAGCAGGCATCCCATCCAGACATCTATGTTGTTGGGTAAGTGCACCAGTACAGCTTTGCTGTTCCTCAGGTCATGACAGTGAAGCCACTAGTGCATTTATGTGTTGATGAAAAAATGATTTGCTGCTTTGAATATGATCAAAAGCTTAATAAGGTGGCTCATTCTGCTGGCGCTGTTTTGCAGATGTCAAGAAGTGAAGTCACAGCCACAGAACTACGTGTATGACACACTTTTGACGATCCATGGTCGACGCTGTTCAAGTAAGTCCCCCAAATTTGTTTGTCACATGCTGTACTTTGTTGTACAATGGGAGCACACAGCATATCCATCTCCCTGTAAGATGCCTCGTGTGGTGCGGCACGAGCGAAGCGATGACAGAGGTTACAGCTGTCAGCTGTGTAGATCACACCAAACACCAAGCTAAGGAAGCCAGCCAACGTCGGCCACCGACACTGGCAGATGCCGTCACCCCGTCGAAATCCTGCCTCGTGAGAACTACGATGGCGTGTTTTCCAGACGTGTAATTGGATACGAGATATTTTGTAGTCCAATTGATTAGGGAACATAACTGTCAGCTACCATATCGCTTTAAACCCCTCCACAGTTTGGCCGCAGACTTCGTTGCAGATTTCCGCAGCAGCTATCAGCTGTTACAGCCAATGGGTACCACATTCAAGCCGCAGCTCCGCAAAACGCTGGCAAAAGAGTTCAACGGTATTACCTCTTGGCCGCAACAGCTGAAGTGTACAGAACCGCAGCAGATTCTGGAGTCGTCAGGTGTTGCAGACTAGAGAGGCAGTACTTTTGAGGTCTTAAGTCCACACCACCGGACCGCAGAATCTGCTCACCTAGTTCTAACAACAGGTTACATTCCTCCTCCAACACTCCATCAACCATAGCACAACTAGTCCAGCATGTCTGGCCCGGTCGCTCCTGGTAATTAGGTTACACTGTTTTTCTTACACGAGCTCAGGTCGAAAGGCGGGCGCCTTGACAGTCTCTTCTATTCCGAGCTGGCGCAGCTAGTGCAGTTGGAAACTGGAGCTGGCACGAATGTAATGGAGGTGCTGGCCGACCGCCGCCTGAGCCTGGTCTGGTCTGGTCCGGCCCCTGGTCTGGGCCTGGAACCGGTGGCCGCGCCGCCCGCCTGCCCGCCCACCGTCTGACCGGCCGGTGTCGGCCGCTGGCAGGCTGACGCTGGCGCCGCGGGGCTACGTCAAGCTGCGCACTATCCGGCTGCAGGGTATCGTGCTGTCCGTGTACGTGCTGCGCCGGCACGTGGTGCACGTGAGGGAGGTCGAGGACAAGTACGTCCGGCTCGGATTCGGCGGGATGTGGGTGAGTCCTGTCGTCGTCTAGCGGGGGTGGTGGCTGCGAAGGCAGGTAGGCTTACTCGATAGACAGGTTACTTTGCTTTTGCTGGAGCTCGAGGACTGTGAGCTTACATGGACGTGGCGGAGGATGTCGAAGCAATTCACGTTCATTCTGTAGGGCTCCGATGTAGCTCATTACAGCGGTGCCAGGTGGGCTAGGAGTGTGGTGTTTGGGTCCGGACAGCAAGCGATAGCCAGCGGCAGGTGCGCGCCGTCGCCGGTGCCGCGGCACCGTCTGGTGCCGTGCGCGTGCTGCCCTGATGGCCGTACGCGCGCGGCCGGCAGGGCAACAAGGGCGCGGTGGCGCTGCGCCTCTCGCTGAACGGCGTCAGCCTGTGCCTGGTCAACTGTCACCTGGCGGCGCACGACCACCTGCTGGCCGAGCGCATCCAGAACTACACCGACATCCTCAGCCAGGCCAACTTCCAGCACCCGGCCACGCCCAAGCTACTGTACCACGAGTGAGCCCGCCCGCTGCCCGGCCCGCCGGCGGGGCCGGGGACGGGACGGCGTCGGCCGGCCGGTGGTTCGCTGTTAGGTACTCCGATTTTGCGGTTGGTGCGAACCCGGTGGTTTTTGGTGTGATGGGTAGGACAAGAACAACATCGTGCTTTGCGAAAAGTAGCTTTCTTGAACTCTTGATCAGCTAGGATGCTGTTTGTCTCGAACCCCTGCAGTGTGGGCGCAGACGTTGCCTGCTTGGTGAAACACGCGCAGTGTACGCAGAGTGTATGGTCGTTTAAGCACGCTGCAGAGCCGTCGCACAAGTCCGCACAATACACGCAGCGAAAGTCCAGTCACGCAGCACGCAGAGGAAACCGTCTACAAGGCGGCTTCTTCCAATGCGTGCACATGGACACGAATCCTTTTGACTTCAGTCCTATGCTGTATCCATCCTATGCCGCCCAATCCTTTCCTATCACGCATGCATATGACGGCCGTCACTGCTGGAGGTGATGATGCGCCATGTCGGGCCCAGGTGCAGCCTCCGCCCAGACAATTTTCCCTGTGACGCCGTGCTGCGGGCCTCTGCTCGCACTGCGCCCGGTCAGGCCAGAGGCCTGTTCTCACATGTCCCATCGTGCGACGGCCGACAGCTACCTCATCTGGCTGGGCGACATGAACTTCCGACTGTCGAGCGGCGAGGGCGGCGCGCCCGACGACGAGGCGGCGCGCCGGCTGGCCGATGAGCACCAGCTGACACCGCTGCTCGAGCTGGATCAGCTGCGCTGGGCGCGCCGCACTGGCAACGCCTTCTCAGAGCTGAGCGAGCCCACGCTCACCTTCAAGCCCACCTACAAGCTGGTGCCGGGCCGGCGCGGCCTGTACGCCACCAGGTGAGCGGCAGTCGCGGCGCGGGGCGCTCTGGCCGCGGCAGGCGGCTGAGACTGCAGCCTGGCCCTGACTCCCTCCGGCGGCAGCCGCGGTCTTCCTGGCACGCTTGCAATGCTGGGCAGTGCTGGACGAGAGGAAAGTCGTGTGCTTGTGTCGTCAGACTCACTGGGTGTTCGGTAAAAAGCGTGGGCTGTGGTGTAACATGGCTGCGGTGTGGTGTTTGTTCGGGCTTGCTTGTTCTTGTCTGCCGATTGTCTCGATGGTGGCCGAGTCCGGCCGCTGTTGCGCGCTCTGCTGTTTACTCTGGCTGCTGTGGTGCGACTGGCGCTCTGTCGTCTGATGATTGACCGAGACCGGCGCTGTTGCGCGCTCTGCCGGTTGCTCTGGCTGCTGTGGTGCGGCTGGCGCTCTGTCGTCTGATACGTGACGCCGCCCATCGGCCACAGCCGCCGGCCGGCCTGGACCGACCGCATCCTGTACAAGGTCAACGCGGACGTGTACGAGGAGACACGCCTGACGATGGAGCCACTCAGCTACCAGAGCCACCCCGAGTACACGGTGTCCGACCACCAGCCGGTCTCCGCCGAGTTCCGCGTCAAGGTGAGCTGACGGTGCCGCGGAAGGTCTCTGGCGGGCTGATCATCGGTGAGCTGACGTAGTGGCACAGTGTCCGACCAAGCCCGTCTCTGTCCAGATGAGATAACCATAGCGCACAGTGTCCGATAGTTGATCTGTCCGTGCCGAGTTGAACATCGAAGTGAGCTGACGGAAGCACACAGCGTCTGGCCAGCCACCTGTCTCCACCCATGTAATTATCGGTTTGGGTATATTGGAGTTGACAATGCCTTAGCCCCGTGGTCGGCGCCTGTGGGGCCCGGGCCGGTGATGCGCCCTTCAGGATCACTCCTGTAGCAGCAGTGTGTGTGCGGTGCTGCAGGTGTTCTCTGGCCGGCCGCTGCCTTGCGTGGAGTTCCTGCCCATCTCTATGTGGCTGGTGGGCTCCGACTGCGTGGCCAAGTACCGGTGCGACCGCGCCCTGGAGATCTCCGCCTGGGACTGGATCGCCCTCTTCAGGGTGAGAGCCCCGCGCCGTCCACGCTCGCGGTCCGTCGCGTGACGGTCGGTGCCGATCGCCAGTCGCGTCCTCGGAGCGCTGCGGCGCCCGCCGCGAGTCCGGCGGGTGGTGCCCGGTGCGGCTAGCGCCGTGCGCCTCCGCGGCGCCGCGTCCCACCGGCTGTTGCGTGCGGTGCCTCCCACGTATCCAGCTTCCGCCTGCCGCTAGCCGGCGCCTCGCGATGACCGCGGCTGGGGAGCGTTCGTGAACAATGCCATCTGAACGTCCAGAAGCACTTCGTGCGGACCCAAACGTAAAACCTGAACCTAAAACGTCGCGTGAGCTAAAGCTCCGTGGGTGGCTGTAGGGTGTCGGTTGTTTGGCCCTCGTGAGGTTGGAAAGGGGCCGGCTCTCGGGCTGTGAACTCACGGGCTGTAACTTCCCAAACTGCAGCGGTTGGCTGTGTAGGCCTGCTGACGGTTTGTTGTCGGTGTTGTCGGTGTTTGAGGGATCTTCACGATTTCCCGCCGACCCTCTGCCGCAATTATTAGCCGATTTCCTCTCGACCGTCTGCCGCAATTATTAGCCGATTCATGATCTCCACGGCATGCAGCAGATCTGAGGCTGCGGTTGACTTTCAGCGCTTAAAATCGAGTTACACACGAACCGATGTCCGGGAGCTGTGTATTTTTTGCCGTCGTCGGATGGAGCTCATTAGCTCTGTAAAAGAATAGACATCACAGCATCAGACAAACTTGCAGATGGACTGTCTGGACCGACAACCACCATCCATGAGGTAAATGGTAATGTGTCACGTTTGCAACGGTTGGGTCTCGTTCGTGCTGTGTCTTCACCATGTAGGCGCTGTGTACCAGAACGATTAGAAAACGCTCCTGGTCCTTACCATGTGGATCGTGTATTTTGTGTATGGAATATGCAGTATGCAGCCCCGCAACGGTTCAAAAATACACCCGCGTGTTCCCAGGGCTAGCCGGCAGGCTAGAGAAAATTGATGGGATAACAAACAAAAAAAAAAACAAAAAAAAAACAGAACAATGCGCCTTTGAGGTTCTCCCTCTCTCGCGCCGCTGGGGTTCAAGTGTTTGTAACAGGTATGTGTAGATTTCGGATCAAGCCACGCGGGTGTCTCGAATCGGAAGGGACGTGCGCATGTTGTGCGGCGTGACGCACGTGTCACTCATAATTTGAGACCCCCGCACCACTCGCACCGCAACGTGTCCACTAGCTGACACTGGGCTTTCTCGCACACAGCGTGCGTCGGGGTCTCTCCAGCTTTGTAGCGACGGTTCAGTGCTCTTCATATCGTACAGCGTGATGCAAAAGCTTGTGAGGGATGATGTTTTTTATCTCCAGTCTGTCGCGTATCAAGAATTGGCAGCGTTTTCCACGTAGCCACTCAAATGCTCGGCGGTTGGCCTTTACACCTGGTTAATCCCCATGGCATGTGTTCGGTTGCGTTCATTGTATTTTCGGTGCCGTGCGCTAGTTTTGAGGTTCACCTGTATTATGGACAGAGCTTTTTGCACTGACCGTGAACCCCCACCTGGAGATGCACCGCCAGGGGCGACGTCTCTCCGATAGACGGAACCGCGGAGGAATGCCTTGCGTACCGCGCAACGGTCCATGCCCACTACAGGCGTTGTGATCGCCCGGGCCGCCCACAGCTGGCCTTTGCATGGGCACCGATCGGAAAGACGGCGCTCGCATGCTGTGACTCAGCCCCTGTGGCAGTAGATCAAGAGTGATGCACGTTTTCCTTGGGCCACGGGTGGGACAGATGTGCTCAAGGCTGCCCAGCCATCGGATGGTCCGCCTGCGGCAGCGGGCGCACATTTCACGGTCGACGGCACGGATCGCTCCGGCATTCACTGGCCCGGCGCCGTCCGGTGGTCCTGACGCTTCGCCTTTTTCTAAATATTGATGACTCCTAATATGTTGTCTCTGATGAAGTCATCAGTTGTAATGCAGCTGCTACTAAGGAATGAGTTGGGCATAAGAATTGCAAGGAACACGACGTGGTTTCTGCGTAATGGGTCGCGACAAAATACATATGGACATAGTTCAATTCTATGTGCCCGTTTGTCATGGAGGAAAACTAAAAATAGGAGATCACCGGTTGCATTTTATGAAAACGTTTGAAGCTACATCATCCGTCATTAGCGAAGGCGTTTCATCCATCGTGCCGTGGTGTTTTACTGCCGGGTAGTGTTTTTAAGAAGGATAACGGTGACGCGAAACGTCAACATGCGTACGTAAAAAGACTATGCCTGCTTTGCTTTCTTGGGGCTTTGCGACACCGTACTATGTGAGGGTGGGGTAGGTGAGCTTTTTTTGAAGAACGGAGCGTCCGTCCCGATGGCCCAGTTGGTTAGAGCGCCCGCCTTCCGATCCACCCACCCGGAGAGGGGTGGGCTGGAGTCGCTTTAGGCGCTCGATGCGTGACAGTGTGGCCAGCGGTCGGTGGCAGCAGCTGCGCTATGGGTCGGGTGACGCCGCAGGACGGGACGGAACTTGCCGAGATTTGCGGCACGGTGGACTTTCGCCGCCAACTTCTGCCGTTGACCTGGAATTGCGCAATCGGATGGTAGGGGTCAGGGTTCACACAACACGCACTGCTTAACGTGACCTCTGATCCCGGCAATCAATCCATTCAAAAGGTTTGGATTAAATTTAAAGAAACGGGCGTACAATGTTCACTCCACGCCTCATGCTTGGTCGGAGCGGCCACATTCTCCGCCACCTCGGCCTTTGTCTCGGGTTCTCACCGGGCACCGACTGCAGGTGTCTGGTCGAGGCGGGTTTGTTGCCAGCCTGTGTGATTGTTATGCTGAGCCCTGCACCGCCGGAATGTCGGCGGCGTGCGCGGAGCCTCGGCGGCGCAGCTGACCGGCGCCCGGTGGACTGCGCCGCCCGGCCGCGCCCAGCTGCCCAGTGCGATGACGCGTCGGGGGCACGGCCCCTGGGCCGACACGCTTCCGAGCCGACCGCACGACCGTCCCGGCTGCTCCCGACCGGCGGCACGGGGCTCTCCTCGCAGGTGACGCTGCTGCTGCGCGGCGTTGGGGTTTTCTGGAGCGGAGCCGCGCTGCGGTGCCGGACGGCTCGGATGCGGTCGTCCGCCGCGTGACACTCTCCGTGGTAACCGCGTGCCGGGCTTCACTCCTGTGTCATTCGGCCCCCCGGGCACGACTCGCCATGGGAAGGGCACACTTCCGCGGTCTCCGTCCCCGGCTGCCACATTGAATGATTGCTGCCGTGCCGATTGCCGTGCATCGACTACGGCGCGCAGAGGCGGCAGCGCATCTACATTTCTGTGCTGGCATGCGGACCTAGACTCGCTCTCGAAATCTCCATGCGCAAAAACAACAGCTCATAGTGGCTGGCTACCTTCACGACACATCATTGTCAACTTCACGCTCCATATGTATGATGCCCAAATAGAGCAGGTCTGTCTGAACGCTGTAGTGCCCCTCCGCCTTTGCTTGCACGTGGCATCCTTCATTGAGCGTGTCCTTGGCGACCTGCGAGCGCCTTGAGCGCCGCGCCGCACGAGAGGTCTCCAGTGAGTCCCTGGGGCGTCCTTCATTGAGCGTGCCCTTGGCGACCTGCGAGCTCCTTGAGCGCTGCGCCGCACGAGAGGACTCCAGTGAGTCCCTGGGGCGTCCTTCATTGAGCGTGTCCTTGGCGACCTGCGAGCGCCTTGAGCGCCACGCCGCACGAGAGGACCCCAGTGAGTCCCCGGGGCGGCCTGTGGAGGCAACCCGTGGTGCTCCTCGCTGGCACGGCTGTCCTGCTGTGTCGGCGCGCTTCCATGGTGGCTCCCACACGCTGCGATATCGTTGCCGAGTCAAGATGTCATCATCCCGCTGTGAAAACATGATTCCACCGTGCCGCCCCCCCCCCCCCTGTCCTCAGTTTGTTGACGAGGTGCCGAAGGGGTGACATCATCCCGGTGTGATGATCTGCATTTAGTGTGGTCTGCTCGCACGATCACGAGATCGTGCGAGAAGTCCTGTTGTGGGGGCCGACGTAGTTGTCAGATTATCTTCGCCGTTATATTGTCACCGTTATTAGTTATATTCGTTGGCGGCTGGCAAGGACGAGCGCGGCATATTCATAATCGGTACTTGGGACCGCTAGGACATAGCCGGCAGGTGCAGAGCATGAGCGTATTGAAGTCCTCTTTGGCGAGGCCGTTTTTCCTTCGTAATACATACGGCTCAGGAATGCATGATCCCGGTGAGAGCGAGACGCTGCCTTGTGTGATGACGAGCGCGTTGTGTCTGTCGACAGGCGAACTTTGCCAGCCTGGACGAGTACATATCCTACATATGGGCGCCGCGCACCACGTCGTCCCCCAACTCGGACCACTACGTGGCCGTCTTTCCGGAGGACAGTGTCACCGTGCCAGGTAAGTGTGCTTTCGAGCGAGGCCATTCAAGATTACATCAGTATGAGTCTTCCAGCCTCGCATGCCTGCGGTTCCGTGGCGATGTTGGTGCATGCACAGCGGGATGCCTTCCGACTGATTTAGCGCTGTCGGTGAACTTCAAATTGGTCAGTTGTTGCCGGTGATCGAGAGGCAGTAAGAACGCTGAAAACGCAAGTTATTCTGTTTTTTTTCTCTGCTGCAAGCAGTTGTCCCTGATTCCGTGATGCCCATGACCACGCGAGATTGAATTAGCAAGCGTAATGACCATTGCATGGGCGCGTCTCCGATCCTTCCGCTGCCAACCAGTCACCTCGGCCGGCACCATGACCTATGTTTGGGTCAGGGGTCTGCCGTCCCAGGCCAGTCAGCGGTCGGTGGCCGCTATGCCCGCGGCCTTGCCCGCCGCCTCGGCCCCGCCGGCAGCAGGCCGCCGCCGGACCGGCCGCACCTCGCCTGCCGTCGAGCTGGCCGGGGCGGGCGGGTCTGAGCCGGCCAATGCTGTGGTTGACCGGAGGGGTGGGGTAGGGGCGACCCTGGCTCCGTGCCGTCCGGCCGGCGCCGGCGCCGAACGGGCGGCGCGACCTTCTCCCCACCTGACTCACGGCTCGGCGGTGCTTCACGGCACCGTGGGACCGCCATCTTGCCGGGCTTGTCCGTGTTCTGGCCGCCGCTCAGCGCGCGGTAAAGCTTAGCCTCGCATCGCGAACCCCCCGAGCCCCGTCTGAAGTCAGGCGAAACGCCGGCGGCACCCAGGGCGCGTGCTGTGTACCCTGCGCGTCGGCTTTATGCGCCGCCGCTTCCCGGCGCAATGGCCGCTGCCCTGGTTGAACCCGGCTCTCGCGTCGGGTGTATGCTAGAGCCCAGGGATACACGACTAGCCCTTTGATGATTTACAGGACGCTTAGGCAACTGACCAGCCAGCAGTTAGTGGACAGAGTCGCCTTCTGTGGCGTCCGTTGTGATCTCTGGTCTACTCATGTGAGGTGCTACAAAGAACGTTCGTGCGTAGCTGTGTTTTAAGGCTGTGCGTTTGGCGCGGTTGCGTTTGTGTTCGCTATTGCAGTCTGCGGATCGTGTTGTGTGATGCTGAAGTCACTGGAGGTGGCTGACCGTCTGCCGCAGCCCAGCTCTGCCGTCTCAGGCGCAGTCCGACCGTCCTTTGCAGGCAGTTACGTGCTGGTGTACTTCGGTCGGAACGGCCGCGGCGTGTACGGCATCAGCGAGCCGTTCGCAGTTCAGTACAGCCACACCGCGCGGCTGGCGGCGCTGGCCATCGGCAGGACCACGCGCGCCGAGCGGGCGCCGCTGCTGGCCGCCGACGAGGCGCCCCTGCTGGCCGCCGATCCTGTCGAGCAGCGTCCCCTGCTGGCGGACGATCCTGTCGAGCAGCGGCCTCCGCTCGTCGCCGATCCTGTCGAGCAGCGGCCCCCGCTGGCCGCGGACCCTGTCGAGTCCCCGCTGGCTGGCGACCTTGCCAGGCGGGGGCCCGCGTCGGGTGGAGTGCCGCCGGCGGGCGGTGCAGGCCTGGGCGCCTGCGCCGCGGTGGAGAGTCCTCCGACGACGACCGGCCCTCTGGCGGATGGCGTCCGTTTGGGGGAGGAGCGCGCCGCCGCGGCCAGCGCCGATCCCGCCGCCGCCGCCTCAGACCCCGACGCTCTGACGAGGTAGGGCAGAGCGCGAGCTGTCTGGACCACTCGGCTGCGATACATACCAGAGACCTGCCGCGGCCAGCGCCGGTCCCGCCGCCGCCGCTTCAGACCCCGACGCTCTGACGAGGTAGGGCAGAGCGCGAGCTCTGTCTGGACCACTCGGCTGCGGTACACACCAGAGACCTGCTGCGGCCAGCGCCGGTCCCGCCGCCGCCGCTTCAGATCCCGACGCTCTGACTAGGTAGGGCAGGGCGCGAGCTCTGTCTGGACCACTCGGCTGCGGTACACAACAGGGACCTGCCGAGACCAGGCAGCTTGGTGTCGAGCCGTGGTGGTGAGCAGGCCCGGGCTGCTCATGTGTCGCGTGCAGTCGAATGCCTAGCTTCATGCGCCAGCGTCGGCTGTTTGCCGACATTGGTGGCGGTAGATTTTATACGGCGCTTAAAGCCGGGCGGGGTGATTGCTTAGCGTGCGTTCCACATCTCCCGTGCCTTGGTCGCGTGGGTAGATCGGATGTCGTGATTTTGGTGGCAGCCATGAAATCATGCGCGGATGTTTTCCTAGCTGACTGGGGATTGCGTAGATGTGCCTTGCCCTACGCGGTTTGTATCACGCCGGGCTTCCCGCGAATGGTGTTCTATTTATTAACTCGTTTTAGTTCGTATTCGTGGCAGTTAATTGCGTGTCAGGCGTCGAACGTAACAGGTTCAGCGAACGAATCTGGAGAATATTTGAGCTACTGGAGAACGGCCGCTAGTTAGTCTGGCGTACCGGGCTGTGCCCCGTCCCCTGCAATGTATCGCCCCCGAGAACTTAGCAGATCTAGTCATGGTGCTGGAGTGGCTGCCGATGTCCCTAGTGCCTGGTTTGTCGGATAACCTTGAGAAAATATGCTGATTTTTTCGGGCCGGTTGTGTCAGATCAGCGTCAAAACAAAGCTGCCTTCTTAGCGCCGGCGTTCGGGATGTTTGTCGGCGCGGCCAATGCGCCGGGCTGGCAGTGTAATCCGCGTGTTATACAGTACATATTCTACGCACCGCGCTGGAGAAATTGAGGCGATGTGGGAAGTTTGCCTCGAGTGTAGGAGGCGCGTGTTCGACCACGGCTGCGGGAGTCGCACGCCGACGCACGCCGCGCGTTTGACGCCACGGCGCGGCTTGAGGGGTGTTGCGTCAGGCTGCGTCGGGACGCCGTGGTGACCGTCGAGACGCGTGCGGCTCTGGGCCCCTCCCTGGACAGCGCTGGAAGCCTCGGGCCCCGGCGGGTGTGGTGCGGCCGGCCGCGAGGATGGCGCCGCGCGTCCAGCACGGGAACTAGCCGGCGAACGTCCCAGCAGACGGGCAGAGCCGGCGCTGTCTGCGGTTATGCAGAGCGCGGTCGGTGATGCGCGGACACCGCTGCCATCGGCCCGCCCGTCAGCCTGAGCCGATTGCGGTGCGGCGGCGGCGGGTGTGGCGATGGTCGTTCGTTTCAACCGCCGTCAGCGCCTGTCTGGCGGGGAAGCAACCCCCGCGACTCCCGCGCGCAGGCGTCAGTGGGAGGCCCGGGCCGGACGGACCTCAGACCCGCACAGACCGTGGCTGACCAGCTGGAGATCACTGGACCGCAGTTACCACGGGCTGTAGTCTGGCACACCCGTGTGCGATGTTGAGGGCGCGGTACAGCGCGCTGGACTGAGCTTCGCGGGCACGTGCTGTTGGGGTGCTGCGCGCATGGGTGCTCGTGTTTCGTGTTCGGGGTGTGCTTATATTACCGACGTACCTCTTGCCTACTCGTGCATCTGTTGCTCAGTATCACAGTGCGACACGTGGCCCGTCCTGTGTGGGTTACTTCTATTCAGTTGGTTCTCATGTTCTCGCTTCCGTGACAGCCTCAACATCTTTGACGTGCTCTGACCGAGATTTCGTGATCCGTACAAGTTTTACCCTCGCACGCGGCCGGTTGGTCGGACATCAGACAATCACCGGCTCGCACTCAACACGGAGTCGGGTCGTGTGGGACTCAGGTCTGGCTGAGAGTTGGGAAATGGTCATTTAACTGGCACGGCGCATACCTTGTCTCATTTTCAGGTCGCCAATACATGATTCCGTACCATGCCGCTGTTTGACATTTGCTGGGCATATATGGCCATGGACGAACGGTCTCCAGACCTGTGCGCTCGTGATCAGCATTTTTTAACAGGATGACATCACTCACCGCATTCATCGCAATTCATTTTGCATCATTCCTGGAACTCATGACCCAGTCATGCTCCGTTGAGCCGGGTCGCCCCCTTGCGCGGCGCGGGCCGGCCGGGCCCGCACCTGCCGCCGCGGATTCCCCCGGCATTCTCGCCGCGCGGCCGGCATTGCTGGTGTGCGGAGCGCCGCGGGCCGCGGGCCGCGCCGTCGGACCTCGGATGCCGATGAGACGGCGGCGGGCGTCCGGCGTCCCCGCCGCGCGCCGGCCCGCCGTCACCGTCGGCGCCCTCTGATGCCGACTGTCGGGCGGCTGAGGCCGGCTGCAGCTGCGGGCCGGCGGCGACGAGACGCACGTGCAGCTATCTGACTGAAATCGTTCATGCTGGAGCCAGCTGTTTCGAGTTGCATCACCTAGGACGTCTCCTTTGGCCGCGCCGTCCGCTGTTCCACAACACGTCTGGGCCGTGCTCCCGTGGCCGGTGCTGGCCGCGTCGTCCGCTGTTCCACAACACGTCTGAGCCGTGCTCCCGTGGCCGGTGCTGGCACCGTGCGGCCTTGCTCAGGCCCGTGTGGGCCTGACGCCGTGCCCGTCACGGATAACGGGAATAAAGGTTATCCGCGCAGAACGGATACGGCGCAGGGGCGGTGAAGGATTGGGCACATGTTCTGGTGATAGTCCCGCATGCTGCGTGAAGAGGACGAGTGGACCGGCTGGGTAGGGCACGGCATGTGGGTAGAAATAAGCGTGCGATTGTGTGTTGCTTCGGCAAGTGGGTATGTGGGAATGGGCTCGGCTTTTTGCTTCGCTTCTCACTTTTTGTTTACGTTCTGATAGCGTCACCAGTTGATCTCAGTGCGATGACCACCCGAAGTCAGTCCAACGAGCCGTTATTTTCTCAAAATACATTTATTCATCCTGTCCGAACATCGAAATCCTCTTGCGGTTGTGAGTTCTCTGCATCCGAGCCTGCCTCCGCTTCAGCGAAATTAGCTCTGACCCCGGCTCACCGCGCGGAATGCCTACCAGGATCGGTATGCTCTCAGTCCACGGCGTGTATCTCAGGTTTGACTAAACATAGATGCGAGCATGGTCGACGTACTCCGTTTTTAGTTAAGCGGGCACTGCTCAGTTCTGGAATTAGTGCGAATGCGCTGCCAACTTGGAGTCAGTTCGATCCACCCACTTGGCCTGGGAAAAGGTGCTGCACTCGTCATCCGGGAGTATTGGGCGTGAATCCCAAAGTAGTGCGTTCTTTAGTCCGATTGATACGGTGGTGTTAATTGGCGGCATGCCAACGAGGTCATCCCAGCCCGTCGTGGCCGTGCTGTTGCTTTGCACGATGCATAATACCCTCCACTGTTTTGTCTGGAGACAGGATGGAAGGTGAACCCCATCCGTTGAAGGGAGTGTTCTACAATTGTATGGGGTTTGGACAAATAAAGCCGTCTTGAAGATCATTCGGTACAGTTTACAGCCCTGCCCTTTTGAAGACCAAAAACTTTCTTGTTTTTAGCCACATGCCCGTGAAGAGGTAGACTGTTTCGTGCGGACTATTTAAGAGTTACCCGGATATTTATGACGCAATAATAACGTCATTCAAATCTTGCCATTCATAATAGCCATGCAGGGTTCAAGGTCATTCAACATAACTGTCGATTTGGCTGCATCTGGCGTTCGTGAGGACGATTTCCAGATATAACGGTCGTCAATTGGCTGTCAGCTAATGTTTTGCAAGCTATGGAAGATTCCAACACGACTTAAGTTTTGTGCTACATAACGCCATAATCGATCATGTGAATACAAGTCAACATCTTGAACTCAGGGACTAATATGCCAGAACACCACAAGAAGCGGGCAAAACACGACCACGTAACGATATTTGGCTTAGCGAACACTTCCACCCCGTGCTGCCACCCCTCGGGATTGCAGAACTACGAGTGAGCGCAGCCATACAAACCATCTATCTCGCAATCAAACAATGACATATTGAGGAGCATACTTACCAAAAAGAGAACCTCTGTTGTCTAGAGCAGCCCGTTTCACTTAAGAACATACCGATGGTCGTCAGTGAGTTTATTTCATCATATCTGATGCCTGCTTCAAAGTCCTCATGTTTTAATGTACTTTACCATTTTTAAACATTGTTATATATATTTTATTTATTATTATCATCGTTATTTTTATTATATTTACCTCATTCACTTTAAGCTGGGCAGCTCAGCTCGGGACCAGGCGCAAAATACGCACGGCACGCTTCGCGCACCGGTAAGCAAAACCCAAATGCATCCATGGGAGCTGTTCAGTATTGAGGTGAAAAGCTAAAATTTCAGGTAAATTAGATCGCTGTCTAAATTTTTTGAACGCAGTTGGGTTACTTGTACCGCACTTGTACTTGTACTTGTACTTGTACTTGAACATTCGATTCAGCATTCAGGTTGACCATGCATTGTTGATAAGAATTAAGTCCATCTCTGCCACAAGTCGCCAAGCTCGAAAATGCTAATGACGGTAACGCTCGTTTTGCCTGATATAATAAAGAAAGGATTTCAGCTCCTGGCTTTTTAAGGCTGCGCGTTGAGAGTTCTAATGTTCAGTCAACAACCGCCAGTGTACCAGGAGGTACTGGTTAAGCGACGTTGTTATGCTGAATAATGCTTATATTGACGGCACTTAACATGCTTGTTATTTTGCATCACAGCATTGTTTAGTCAG